TGGCGTATTCACATTTCTGACGAACACTGGAAAATCAGTTGTTACCTTAAACCTGAAATAACTCATGAAGAAACAGTGTACTGACGTGCAATTTTCATATTCGGAATTAGCAACTTCGATTAACCCACTTCAAGAGTTTCTGGCTTGTTTGGCTTTTTTTCTAAGGCAAAATACCGCTTTCAAAGGCTTAAAATCCTCCTCGAAATTCCTACCGTAATCCTACAGTAATGAAGAGCTGTTTAAATCGCTCCATACCGTAAATTCAAGTTGAATCTTGCTCCAAAGAATGGTACCTCAAGCCTGGCAAAAGACATGAAAGCAAGAGAGTTATCAATAAACAAACAGTGTGCACATTTTTTTGGGACACCCTGTATGTCATACGAACACCCTTTATCTTGAAATTCCGGGACTTTCAAAAAGAATCGCAAGTACTATATGAATAGCATAGTCAAGGTCTAGCAACACAAAACGAAAATCGATCTGAAACCTAAGAATAGATTTTGCTCCAAATACAAATTTTGAAGATTTTAATCCTTAATCAAAGCTGCAATCTTTCGCATCCGCAATTTTTTGTGAAGCTACAGTCATGAAGTTTGAAATGTCTCCTGCAAGCTACATCCAGTGCGGTTTAAAAAGGAAAGCACTAATCTTCTCAGATAGCTCGAAATGATTTTGAAATCAGTACTTTCCAAACGTTGTGTTTTTCTGTGAGTCACACTCTGATCAGCTCGTACCAAAGCATTGAGATTAAGTTTTCTAGATAGAAGCGTGTTTGATGCTCGAAAAAAATTTGCGTATTCGTTAAGTTTTCGTTCAATTGAACCTGCTTTAGAGTCAGCACTATTTACCTTAAAACTCGGCTTCTGTTGAATATAGCGCAAAACGCCGGCATCTTAGCGTAGCCATTTGTACACGCGCAGATTTTACCGCACAATCTCGAACAGGAAGACACTGTTTTTAGCGGAAATCTACGCGACTGTCTATGAGCATTTTTTCATGCCTCACAGAGGGCCTGTATGTACCTTTGCATGAAAACGGTATGAAAATTCATTTCTGAACCGGTCGGGCCAAACTTTGCAGGCAGACACCTTCAGGCCGGCGGGTGTTGTAGAACTTTTTGTTGTAGATCTGTATATTTTTGAAAACCTTGTGCTGGAATGTTGAAACTTGATAGGGAGGTGGGATTATTGAGTATTATGATTACAAATAATATATTTGCTGTCAAAATTACCGAAAACCAAATTACCAAATACTTGCAACTGTGCTGAGGCACTGAGAGCTGGTACGAAATATGGCCGGTGCAGGCGGGATGGGAGATGCGCATGCTGATTACGATTTTTATTTCTAAAATTGTCGATCGCCCCTATTAATTTCTGCAAGCTTTAGGCGGTTGGTATAAAGGTTAATTGAGCACACCTGAAAGCAGCATTGATGAATAAAATTACCTATTCGGTTATTGAATCACCTATTTTTCGTAAATGTAAGAATTGATCGAAGGGAGGGGTGAGCTTGCTGATTTTAAATACAGTTAGGGGCAGAACGAAATTTGAAAATGGAGAGCGACAAGGGAAACCAAGCGATGCCAGGTATGTTAGCTAGTGGGTGCAATTTTTTGGATACGAAGTCGTTAATTCAAAAACAAAGATACGACACCTACAACATTTCACGAATGAATGTAAACAACAAGGAGGACTAGAACAAAATACAAAAGAGCAATCAAACAGACGATGAAGAAGCCATTGTTGGTCGTGTTTCCCGAATTGGCGGCATATTCTGAATAACGACGGTAATCCTGTTGGCGCCCAGCATCGCGCACTTGGAGCGGTTGCCGTCGCTTTCCAAAATATAATAACTGGAGGACTGAAACTAGGCGGAGAGTGGGAGTTTAGCGAGGTTCAAGAATTAGAGCCTCTTCAGTGACTTTTCAGTTGGCTCAGAAGCCACCTAAGGAAAACAGTTCGCCCCTCCATTTCACATGACTTTTTCGTCATTTTCATTACATCGTTCCAACTCCCCTTTATGCATCTACACGTCAAAATTGGGGTCATGTCACCTTTCCTTCGCTATAAACGAGCCTTTTGTTCATTTCGAAGCACACTTTCGAATTCTTGCGCCTGCATGGAAAGCATATTGGAACGGAAGTTCGAGGTTTTTGCAGAGATGGGATTGAGAGGACAATGACGACATCGCGATGTCTTCAGAAGGCAGAATTAGGGCTCTGTGGGTGGGTGATTGGGGGGGGGGGTGAAATTTGAGATATGGATGTGTATAACTTATGTGACAGTAGCGATGGGATAAGTTTTGCTCTAAACTGGAGGGCGGCAGAAATTTGTTGAGTCGATGGGCATGCAGTTGGCCTTTTCGAATTTACTTGCTTGATTTTGAGCAAAAATCCAGTTTCGGATTGTCCAGCTTAAACAGATTTTTTCCGTTTCTCAAAATCATTGGCCGAGATCTGGAGCGAAAGGTACATGATTTCGGGATACTGCTCAGGATTCAGCAAAACGAGATCCCTTTGCTTTTAACCCAGAACGATATCCACCCTGCCCGGTGAGCCACCGCCAAGCCCTGCATTCAGTCTCTAGAATGGTACTTTTATTATGTTCTTGAACGGTATAGACGAAACATTTGAGTATACCCAGTCCTTCGACTTACAGAACCATGCACTGGCATATATACGCCAGTGAAAATTTGAATTTTGCAGTCAATCAACAAAAATGATTGTCCGATTTGTATTTAAGGCGTATAAGCTGTGATTAGTAAAATCTGCATTTAGCAACGTCACATGGTGACAATTATAAGAATTATAAGATGGTATTAACATATCAGTCACGCCATGCAAAATACGCAATCTCAACTGATTTCAGGGTCAGAAATAAAAGCAACTTTTTTAAGGTGGTGAAAAGAGGAACAAAATAATGAGAACTTTACATGCTTTATGTCAACTAATCGTCCAGCAAAGCATATAGTAATAATAAAGTACTCTGAAAAGTATTTGGCGTAGCTTTCTTCATTCTTTCCACCAAATATATTATCGAGCTGAACATTATTTTTCGTAACTGCTGCAAATGCCCCCAAAATTTCGTACACACATTCTTGTCCGTAGCTTTGAGTAATCGTCACAATTTCTGTTTCATAGCTGGACTCGATAACATGTTGATAAACAAGCTATTTCGGTGCAAATGTAATTTGGTTTTTTTTTTCAACTAATTAGAGGTCAAGACAATTCGGAAGCCTTCGATCAAAGATTTGCATGAAATAAAGATGCATCAAACCCTGTAAATACCTCAAGACTCAAAATTCGAAACTCGATTATCATTGTAGTTTGATTTTGCGCTTTTTTCAGGCACTGTTGAATTTGAAGGTGAAAAGATTTGTGTGCAAGCGTCTGCTGTTATTCTAGCAATTTTTGCAAAAGTTCAGGCATTACAGTAATGGAAAGAGAAAAACAGGTGCACTGCTTAAGACACGTTAATCAGTATTATATCTGACCTAAGGATATTCCAACAAGAGAACTAAAGTTCTCAATTTTTTCAATATTACCTTGGCATATGCTTAAGCTAAAGAGAGGAACCAAATCCGTTTAACTATCACACATCACGGCGCGTTTATCTTTCGCGTTTAAAGCTCAAACGCACAATGACGCAGAACCTTTTCGGCGATTAGCTTCGACAAACTGAGAATATAAGCAAACGTTCGAGTGCAACTATCCTAATTAGCTGTCTTATTAAACGTGCGACGAAAAGAAGGGTGTGTTCGTTGAACCTGAACAATAGTATAAAGGACACCTCTGATGCATTAACTCCCGCACATCAGCACCAAGTAATGGTAAGTGTTTTCTTGATTCTACATCTTTGCAAGAAGACTCCTTTTGAAGATGATCGTATCCTGCATCGTACTGGCAGCTGTGGGTGCCATGGCTGTCGAGCCCAGCTCGTTTGGTAAGTTCTACAAGTGTGGTAAAGTTGTCATACATGTAATCACTACCAATAAGCTTCACATTGTAGTACAGTGAATTTCGTGTTCAAAAAGCTATTGAAAAGACCACTTATTCAAGTTTCGCTAGCTATTTTCTGGCCGTATTTACCATCACAACTTTGCAGATCAACAGAGCATGCAAGAATTTGTTGATTATATCAACAGCGCTCAATCCTTGTTTAAGGTGAATTGTTATAGAGCAATGTTTATTGCGAGTGATCACTCCTTCGCTTCTTTAAAGCACGTTTGTTTAAAGATGGCGTCCCTACAAAGGGATTCAACCACGGTTTATGGATCCGAAATACTTGGAACTGAATAAAAAAACACTTTTGAGGAAGGCTCCGGTTGTGCTTGCGGCAGGGCAAAATATAACTATCCCACCCAGGTGACTTTACAATAGGCTTGATGGCTGTTTTTATCAAGAATAAATGGACCGATTCAGGTTTGATGCGCGTGAGAGGTGGCCTAATTGTGAGTCCATAAGGCTTGTTCGCGATCAGGGCAATTGCGGTGAGATGCTCCAGAAAGCAGATACTTTATGCCATAGAGCAACATTCACACTTTAATATCATACTGGGCAGTCGCAGCAACCTCGGTCATGTCAGATAGATTGTGCATCGCTTCCGGACACAGAATTCAGGTTCAAAATATGGCGATAGATATCTTGCATATACTATTGTTATAGACGCTATTGTCCGCTACAGATCTCCTGTCTTGTTGCAAGGAGTGCAGAAAGAACGGCGGCGATCCGTAAGATTTCTATAATTGATTATTTACAAAAAATGTTCAGAGTGAATATTTCATACCAACTTCGTCGTATATCGTTAAATGCCTCTATTGCACTCAGAATAGGCGTCATCTCCATGTTTTAGCTGTGAAGGAGGAGAGAGAGAAGAAGCCTGGATTTATTTGAATACACATGAAATTGTTCTGGAGGGACATACAATCGAAAGGTAACAGTGTGAGTGCTATCACTATGAGACTCTCCAACTTACTGGTTATAGAATGTGTGCAAACCGTATATGTTTCCTCCATGTGATCACATCTCTACAGATACGGATGTGGGACATAATTTTTGTAAAAATAAAGAAACGTTGCCGGTACCAGAATGCGCGAAAGAGTGCTTGAAAGGTTACGGGAAGACTTACGATGAAGATAGGGTACATGGTAACTATATAAAATTTATGAATCTTAATATATTGATTGTGGTGAAATCTCTAAGTACCATCTTCTCATTTCTAAATTTGATATTACTTGTTATATTTTTTCAAACACTTTCAAACCTAGGATTCGGTTATGAAGTTGATACGGATGAAAAAGAGATCCAGAAGGAGATAATGACTGGGGGACCTGTTCAAGCTTTCTTCAGTGTATGCAGATTTCGCTATCTACAAAAGCGGAATATACGAAGTACGTTCTCCATTTCAATGTATTCCTGCAACTAAATTTCGAAGTCGAAAATGACATGTTAGAATGTATAAAACACTATTTCACTAATCCCATTATAAACTAGCTGGGCGCGTTTTTCTGCATGCGAGCTTGAATTTTTGTCTTTGCGACAACGCTTTATTTCGTTTCAGAGAGTCCTGGATCGCAAAAACAAAAGGCTGGCCCCACATACTGTCAAAATCATTGGTTGGGGTGTAGAAAATATGAATGGTAGAGATGTGAAGTATTGGCTGATTTCCAATTCATGGGGCCCTAGATGGGGAGAAAATGGTACGTTTGGCCTGTATGATTACATGTGTACTGATTTCTTACTAATCAAACTTAATTTGTTTTTTAGGATTCTTCCGCATGATCCGTGGAGAAAACCATTGTCTAATTGAATCCGAAGTCGTTGCAGGCCAAATGACTCCGTAAATCATTGCTTCCAACAATTTTTACGGTTTCAACGGTTTGAATAAAGCCTCCAGCTAAGCGCTTCTAATATTTCTGCATCCTATCATCTGTCTTATGCTGATGTCTACATTTGGTCAAGTTCTGGGATGAAAATACCTAAGCAGTAAATTACAAATTCTCTCTCTTACATAAATTTATAGCTATTGTCCGAGGTGGAGTATCTTAACATAGTGCCGTCAAAATTGGTGCAGTAATCATACAGAAAGTCAACCGCATGGCGGCAGTTATTTTCTAATGTATGTATGGACATATGTGTGCTGTACGTGTGCTTGGTGTTTGCGTATTAAATATGATAAAATTCACACGTACAAGCAAGATGGCTCTTTTTGCTAGCGATTTCGTGTTAAATTCAATGTTTCTTAGGAGCTGGCGCTTCCAGGAAGCTGAAAATTTACCGATGCATTTCTGAAGGCCTGTAGTATACGATTGCCTATGTGACAACAGCGCAGCATCGCTTTTTTGGAACTTTGGAGTTTTTTTCTTGGTTTTCAGCACAAAAACTATACAGCACGTCGCATATGAATGTCTCATGTGGAGTGTATATGCGTGAGCAAGTTTAGGATCAGGTAAGTCTCTTTGAACAAAGATATATATTTTCGATTTTCAAGCATACGAAAGTTCTCAAATTTCGGCCTTTAATTCGTATTTGGTGAAGCTGATCGAACACGTACACGGCATCTTGTACAGCTTGCTTTACTATATCGAACGGTATCCTGAGATTCTCATAAGAACTCAGAAGCGTGCGACTTATTGCGGCACAAAGTCAAAATTGAAAAAACTTGGGAGACAACCTAATATATTGATTGTAGCTTATCGCTAACTCTACTAACCAAATAGCGTATGTAACAAGCGAGGGAGCATATGGCCGTAGAAGGAAACCGTCTTTGTAATTATATTTCAATCCAAAATAACCTTTAAATGCAAGCACTTAGAATTACTTAATACATGATCCTTGCACTGAAGTTTGTAAAACCGCAACAAATCTCTTCTTTTATTCTAGATAGATTTCGGCATCCGTTAGAGCAGCATGCTCTGCAAAATGATGTCCAAAATTTCTCAACTTTGATCCCCGCGAAGTTTGAGGCTGAGTGATGAAGTCGAAATCTCGAAAAGAAATCAGTGCTACAAATTTTTAGAAGTGTTACTGTGAATTTCAGAAAGCTGCACTCTTCGAAAATTTTCAAAAATCTAAATGTTCTTATCTCGGTTTTGGTTTTCCAATCTTGTATCTGCAAACTAGCTCTTGTGTAAGACTAAAAACTTACAGTTGTACTTTTGAAGCCCTGTAGTATACAATCAACCATGTAAAAACTAAGCATTGCTTTTGCGAAAGTATGGAAACTTTTGTCTTCGCGGCTTATAGCCCCAGGAAAGATAGAGCAACTATTTATGAGCAATTCTATACATTGCTCATGCATGAGCTAATAAGAGATCTATAGCATTTTTTCTGAGAGAAACTCTTACTTTTTTCTCTGCTTTCCCGGCATCTTTCTAGGTTTTAGCTTCAAACTTCTCTCGAACCAAATAGTTGGTGTAAATTTTCAACAACTTTTAGAGTACAACTTCCTCTTTTGAATAATACCCAAAATCTTCTATAACAGCCTATAGGATAAATATTCGTTGCAGTTTTGACATACTTTGATGAGAGAATGATGCAACAACAACGTAATAGTGATCCGAGCGATAGTAAGCTTCACGAACTTAAAGAAAATAAGTCAAGTTCCGGTTTTTGCTCTTCGAAAACAAGCATCTCATTGTCCTGATTTCGGTCGAAGTTTTAACTTTAATATCCTCATTGTTTTGATTACACAGAGAAATTATACAAAGATATTATTTTTAGACGTGACTCTTATGGACAATACAGTAAGTTTTTATACGCGTCATTTAACGTGACTTTCCAAAATATCAGATGTACTGCGAATTTTTTCCGAGAAGTATATCGCCACACACCCCTTTCCAAACTCTCTTTCTCCATGAGATTACGGCAAGATTCGATCATTCCTTTCTTGTCTATATGATCCACGCGTTGGGGCGAATTTTTTGAACAAATTTTTTTGAGTTCCAATGTTCGGAGAAGACACCACCGTTTATGGACGCTGAAGTTTCATGAGGTTTAATTTCAGGAGAATACCGAGAATTATTTATGATTTTTGGACCACATCCTGAATGAGTAGTATGGTCATCTCCGAGCTATGAGTAGGCTACACTGAAGTTGGCGCAAGTATTCGATCTTCATAATTTTCTTCCCCTGAATCGCGTATCGCCTTTTTGCACTGATGATCTGCTCCTTGGAATATAACCAAACTCATACTTTGAAACTCAAGTTCGATGGGTTGAAGTAATTTTGTGATGCAAAATGAGTCATTTTGTAATTGACAAATACTAAGAGAATGCACTGCATACTTGGCTCGGATAGATTCGAAATGCTCGTACTGAAAGTATTATCATTTTTCACTCCCGTTCAAGATCTAAGGTATCCTACAAGGTTAGCTAGAACTTAAATCTCCATAAAAAATGTTGTTGTTCAGAGCAGATTGCTTACTCGATCAACTTGCATAGCGACATGGGAATAGTTTCTTAAGTCTGTATTAGATTGTGTGCTTGTGATAAAAAATTCCGGTAACTGAATGCAGAACTTACAGTGCAAATCAAACTTAATTTATATCAATAGCATCAGTGTTCGCTGGGTTATCTGAAAGTTAATCCTACGATGGGCGATCGCTGCTTTGTTACGTACTGTCGATCTGAGTTGAAGCCATTCAGTATGTTACCTGAGACCCTCGATGAGGTTAAAAAAATGGTTTTCACCTTCTGATCGCGTTTTTCTGACAGCTGTGCTTAAGTGCGCGGTATATTATCTGATGTTAGAATGTTTTGTGCAAACACACTAGCTCAGTCCTTACAGTAACGTCTATAAGGTATGTTGTTTGACTCGTTCTATGAAGCACCTTATCTTCGCCGCATCCTGCTTACTCTACACACAAAGATGAAAGGATTGCGTAACAGGAGAAAAATCGAGAAATTAGTCTTCTCATTTACTGAACCCTTCCTAATAAATATGAGCTAACATCATAGAAATTTCATTAAGTTCAAGAAAGGTGTAAAGGATTGAAGTTATAACATAGCTGTAAGGCCCATTTGTGTATTGCTTCTTCGGGAAGTTTATAGAGTGGGGACTACGTGTAAACAATCTTCAACTTATGCAAGTAAATAGCGGTTGATTAAATGTCTAAATGTTGTTGTTCTCATAGGATGTCATGGTACGAGAAGAAGAATTGCTATTCAGTATAGAAAACCGACGAATCCATTCACTTGGTACCGAAACAACTTGTACCCAAGACAACGAGTCCCATCTAAACCTGTGTAGAGTATTTTCTTTTGTTGTTCATGATAATATTGTGCTGCCTACAAGTTCTGAAACAAGTTTGCGCAGAAACTATATGATTCAATGTTTACTAGGGTAATCAAAAATCTAGCTAATGTTTTTAATCTCCTTTTTCCCTCTAAATACAAGAGAAAGCCAGTAGAAGCTATGGAAGTGAGTAGACAAGAGTTTGTCTAGAACTTCTTAGCGATAAGTAATGCAGGAGGAGATGACAACGATGAAGAATGGGCGATGAAGCTGTTCGAGCGAATCAGAAAAGATCCGTCAGTGCCAGCAATTTTCAAAATTTTTTCCGGGTTGAGTGTAATGTACAATTTCTTACTGTGCTAATAACGATTTCTCCTCGAACACTCGTTGCTAGCAACCGCAATCTTCGAAAAGAGAAAGAGTTCTTGCCCGCGAGTAGCAGTTGTCCGTATCAATGACATCAGAAGCGATGGTCACCCTTTTTTGGTTGATCTCACACTCCCTCTGTCCTTTATGTTCTACTGCTGTTCTTTCTTTCGTTACTCAACATTATAAACTTGCAAAATCTGTGCCTTATGATCCCTTGCAACAAAGAAATTTGATTGCAGAAATTTCGTTACAATTAATGGAATTTCGAAACATGAAATTCATCTGTGCTGTTTACATTAAAGCGATTGACAAGCAGCTGAATGCTTCGTTATCCTGAAAACTTGCATTGATCCTTTCTGCTGCGAAAAAATGCGGCGGCTAGATTGGTCCGCTTCCATGTATGGCTATAACGTTGTATAATGGATACCAGTCCAGCATTCCCCTGGAATTTTGAGACAAGAGGGATTGTTATGATGACGAGGAGAGGGAGCAGAGGTCGAGAGCGCTAGGTTGGCGACAACGAGAAAATTGTAATTGCTGTGTGGAAAATGCAACCACGCGCCAAATTTATTAAAATGTGCGAGAACTGATCGTGACAAAAGCATTTTTGGCTTGAAGTGTTCTACAATGCACATGTATGATGAAAGCTTATCAAACTTCTACCCTGGCACTGTTCCCATAATTTCTTGCTGTTTATCTTATTCACCTGTATAACTCTTTACATCACTACGTGACCGAGAGCGCATACATTCCAATCATGCAACTTTCGAAAAAAATAGCAGTGCTAATTCTACCCAACACATTTATTTTGCACAATGTACGCTGTATAAGGTTTCACGTGCGAAGGTAGACCGGAACATCACACAAAAATCTCTTTAAAATGTAATTCGCTCTGTAAAAATCTCACTTTTCTCTCGAAAGGACGAGCGTTTAAGCCAGTTTGTCGCGGAAGGGAGATGTACACCGTTCCGCAGAACATAGCACAATTTAGGAAAGTTTTATCCGTTTTTGGTCAAGCAAAATTTGATTTGATGAGATTTATTTAGAGTGCAATCGCTTGTTTTTTTTTCGAAAAGGTAAGCGTGTGGGCAGACATGGTCTTGTAAGAGGGTGACGTACAGCGTTGCGCAGAACAGAACGCTTTTGATCAAAGTATTATCCGCTTTTGGGCAAACTTTGAGAAAATAGCCAAAATCGCTTTTGAGAGCAGCTGCTAGGCATACACAGGCTGATGAAGTGGAGACTCAATTTAAAAATTTGTATGTTTTCAAAACAGTACTTATCTATGGATTTGCCCAACTCGCTTGCTAGCGGCTCGTACGATCGCTACTTTTATGTAAGCTGCGGTTCATATATTATACAACACC